GGGAAGGGGCTGCGCGCATCGCTGCGGGGACACCCTCCGGCCCAGCCGCGGGCACCCTCGGCTGCTGGCCGTCACACACTCGTTGTGATAGATTCATTTTGAGTTGTTTCTTTTCCCACAGTAGTGCATCAAAGGAGATGCAGGTTATCCAGGCCCGTGAGATGAGTGCACGCTATGGTTACCCAGCAAATGCGGTGTTGTTTGCTTTTTCTTTTTTTTGATGGGCATACGGGCAAAATTTAGGATTAGGACTGTCATGGTGCAAAGGTTGATCCCCTCGCGCTGCTGGTGTAAAATGAAATGGCCCAGCAGTGTCATTTGCACAGCACCGCGGAGCTCTCTCAGTGAGACACCTCCCCTGCACCCCAGCTGTGCCCTCCCAGCTAAGTACCATCAGCTGCCTCACAGATCATCAAGACTCCCATAAACACCACCTCAAGACTGATGACAGGCCCTGCCCAGGGTACACCCAGTCTCCTGCTCAGTGCCAGCCTGCAGGTGAGGTGATGGTGGACTGGGGCAAAGTGTGGCTGTGACCACACACACTGTCGCTGCACAGTGAGAGAGGCACTGCCACCACTGCCAGGGACCAAGTTCATGCTCTCACCTCTCATCCCACAACTGGCTCAAGGTGCCCAACGTGTCAGCACAGGACTGCTTGGCTTCACTCCACCTATCCTGAGAAACAGCTGTCTCCATTTTACACCCCTGTTAGAAAATCTAAAAATAGATGGTTGGAATCAATCCTGTTGCAATTTCTCAGATCACTAGCAGGAACTGGCCTGATCTCGTAGAGCTGCTCCTAAGGCAAACACTTGGTTTTACATCCCCGTATTTGGCTTTTGTTTTGTTTTGAAGCAGAGAGATACAGTCTGTGTTTATGTGCTAGAGCAGTAGCTGGAATGATGTCTTTACTTTTCACCAGAGCTTTACACACATGCTTTTTAAACTAATTTTCCTTATGATTGTTAATCCTGGAGCAGGAATTTCCTATAGCATTCCTCACAGCAGGAGAGCAAGAGGGAGAGGCTGCTTTTTCTCTTAGCAATATCCTTTTCCACCCTTCCTGTTTATATAGCATTTGTTTAACAGGACAGAGCTGTCCGATAGTGACTGCCCCAGCTATAGCTCCCTTCTCTCCATATGTTTATGGAATAGAGGTGTTTCTGACACAAATAGCTTGACAGACCAAGGAGGGGTCTCAAAACACTGGGTTTTCCAAAGCTTCCCTGGCCAGCCTTTGGTCAGAAATACAATGGGTATTTCAGTGTCCTGTTCCTCTATCTGTCATTCATCTGATGGGAAGTTGAGGCCAGTCTGGGTTCATGCTTTCACCATTACCTCAGGAACAAAAAGGTGATTTTCAGAGGTGGGAAGTCCATGCAGCCCAACACAATTCCACAGGCAGTGGCCCTAAAGCACAAGAACCATGGGATTTCTCCCTGCAGGAACAGAAGTGCAAGATGCAATGTCAGCCTCACGCTCACTAGATCTGGTGATGGTTTGGGCACTGATGTCACTCAGAACAAGCTGGCTCAGCACTTTCCCCGGCCCTTCAGAGGAGAGGAAATGAAACAATGCACCTAAATTAAGGAGGTGCTTTTCTCAGTGTCTAAACTGAGCACTTCCACCGAACACCTTCATGCTGACCACAAAACCAACACTGAAGTGGACAGCTGGCCCCAGCACAGTTCTCTCCTGACAATGCAGAAAGCTGAACTGCTGCATCTCAAGGTGATCTGCACATCTGGTTTACCCAAGCACTGACAGCCTCAGCCCTCAACAGCATTTCACTGCTCAGCTTTCCCTGGTGTCCTGTTGCAATGCACGGGGAATCCTGCACTCCCACAAAACACAAACTCTGCATTTTCCAGTGTGTTCCTGGGTACAGCGATAAGAATCTGGAAAGAAAACATCACATTAGCTGTGATCATTCTGTGCAGGAAAGCAACCTGAATTCTGGCCTCCTGAATACAGGAGGAGCTCAGATGGTGTTCCAGGTACTTTCAAGGACTGCTTACTCTCCATTCCTGTGGCTAATCTTGGTATTTTCAGAAGATATTCCAGAAGACATCTTCAGGTAGATGTGGATTTTGCCCTAGATTTTCGCAAGACAAATGATCTAAGAAACTGTATGAGGAAAAAAGTTAATGTCAACCTCTCCCCCCCCAAAATAGTTACCATTACGAGTACTTAACTGATGGGAAAAACTATGAGATGTTCTCAATATGTAAAATACAATTTATTGTATTTAGGCTGTTCATAAGTATCAACACAACATAGTATGTTTGAAACAAACATCTTGCCAATAAATACTATCTAAACAATAATATTAATCTTTTGATCAAATGTGTACAGTGTATTGACTCAATATTGCACAGTGAGCTCTACATGACATTTCCATAGTGCATTCAGTTTGTTACAGGGATAGTTTGCCACAAACATTGCAAAGCATCAGAGTTGACTTTTCCAAGTGAAAACAGCTGAACTATTTTGTTAGGGACGGAAGGCTGATACAAATGTCAGTGTCCTAGGTTAACTGGTTATGGATTCATAGAACCTAATGTCTTCATGAATGAGGAGACTTTATTTCTAATATGACTCATAGAGAATTGTAAAAAATCCCACTTTCAAATAGAATATTTTCATCAAACTTGTAACTCCAGTGAACAGTGAGTCTGTGATCAAGTTCACTCCCGTGAGCTTTTCTCTTGTTTCAATCTAAATACAGATCATATCTTTGATCTTTTCAGAGCTGTATCTCACCACTTGCATTTCAAAGGCCTGACCATGCCAGTCCCCAGCATTACTCCAGTCTTTGCTCCCTATGTGCCTCTGCTCAGGCTAGACTCAGTACCTGTTGGCATGACCAGAGGTGGCACACTCTAGTCCCAATAGTTTTGAATGTATAAATATAATTTGACAATAGTTCTATAATTAATCGTATCTCATCTTTATCTGATAAAATCTTAATTCTACAGCATTGGCTCTGCATGTGGTGGTCCTGCCAGTTTGCATGGCATTCCCAGGCTCACACAGAGGGCTGGGTGCTGCCAGCAATGTGGCCAGCAGTCCTGTTTCCCTGAAACCCAGCAGCTCCTGGATCAGATGGGCTCATGTGCTCTGGTCAGCACAGTATCAGACACTGGAGGGACTGTGGCTCACAGCAGGTTTTCAACAACTCACTGTTACTCGTTCCCAAGTCCAACTACAACAAAACTATGTCCATGGCAGTGGGAGATGACTGTTAGGGTAAAGACTGTATGATTTGGTTTGTAAGGATTGACCTGCATTTGCACAAACTTACATTGCTCTGACATAGCAGAAGGACCTTAAAATGGGCATATACTGCTTTAATATACATTTAAGCTACATTGCCCTGCCAAAGTGGTATGAACTGCTCAAAATGCAAATAAGAATCATGATCATAGAATGACTATGACTGACTTGGAAAAGATTTGACCATCAGTACAATGGTGCTTAGTGCTTAGCGTGTAGTATCCCTTAGTGCTTAGCATGTAGTATTTCTTTAAGTAAAAGAAAATTCACTCACCAAGTGATACAATTAAAAATTTCTAAGAAACTACTGGTTAAGTATTACCTCATGATTATGTAAATCATGTTTATATCCCTCCTCTTTGATGTTTATCAGTTTGTATATATTTAGATTCTTTATATTCAGGTAACAGAGACTAAATACTTATTTCTATCTAAAAAGACAGTAGGAAAAAATCAGGGATTGAAAGGATTTCTTTTCTGTACAAAAAATACATTTTTATGACAACAGCCAGTACCTTCACAGTAGGTCCTTTGCTCCTCTACTTAACACCAAGGTTCAGTCATCCATAACGCCATCAAAAAGTATCAGAATTGTTTTTCTTTCCACTTTTCAACACCAAAATTCAAGATGCTACTATGGAATGTTTCCAAAGCCTTATGCTACATCCTGATAAAATCAGGATTTTTTTAAACCTTTATAAAGGAACTCAATTCATGCAAATAAATACATAATGTGCACTGAAATACTCAATTCTATGATACAGGTGACTTCACAGAAAAGTCCCTTTATAATTAACTAATCTAGTTCCAATAAAAGAAGATAGTTTTAAAACAGAATTTAAACCATTTTGTTTTACTACAAATTGATGTTTGCCATGTGTTCAAGCAGATTATATTTTCTACCTAGTGTATTAATCTGTGGGTTCAGTGTCACTCTGTTGTAGTTAATGAATATTTGATTTTGAAGAACAGCTTATTTATGCAGGTTTTGTAGTCCAGGGTTTGTCTCCATTTGATTCTGCCCATGGGATCTCAGGTTAAGCCCAAATCTGTAGAGAGAGTTGAACAATCCTTTATGACATTGGCTATTCTATCAAATGTTTAATTAAAATTTGGAAAGGCAATCAGATTAGTGATACAGAGTATCAGCAGCAATGATATTATTTAACCCGAGTTCAAAACTTAACAGTTCTGCTAGCACTTTGTGAGGAGTTTTATTCAACTTTCCTGTTCACGTTTTACACTTTGTTTTTATACCCCTGTTAGTTAAGAGAAAACTGACCCTAGAGGAACAAGCCCTCCCCTTCACCCTCTTTTATTAAACAATCCAAGAACAAAGCACCCAAAGTGGATGCTCCCAGCACTTACTCGGAGAGTGTGGTCCCAGGAGCCTGAGCAGAACGCTGTCCCATCGGGAGAGACCCGCAAGGTGCTGACACGATTTTCATGTCCAAAGAGAATGGATACACGGGACCCTTTCAGCACATCCCACACATTTATGGTGTAATCATTATAGCCTGCAAACAGGAGGCGACCTACAGAGGGAATGAGGTTTTACACAGTGAGGTCTTAAGTAGGTAACACACCACGACTGCAGCAAGGACCTTCTGCAGGACATTCATCACCCTGTAAGCCACCACCCCATTTTCCTGTGCCACGCTCCGACCACTGCTTTCCCCAGGCTACTCTGCTCCTGTGGGACAGCCCTGCTCCACTGCTGAGCTGTCCATACTAAATGCTGAACCAATTAAAATTTATTAGTTTAAAACATAGGAAATTTTAGTTGTATTATATAGAAAATGTTCAGTCATCAGAGATGGGTAATGATTCCAAATCATGACAGACATAAGAGCACTTGAACAGCTAGTGCAGGGTCATACTTTGCTTGGACTTTACACAAGAAGTAGAATACACATGGTTGAATGATTAGTAGACAATTTGGTAAGTGATTCATTGCCAACGGGACAAGCTGTGTTGCTTGTGACTATGACAGGGACATTTGCTTCAGTCCCGGGGGAAGACAGTTCACCACCCACACATCCCCAGCACAGGGTGACTGGGGGAGCTCTGCATTTGTGTTGGGGCAGGAGAGAGAAGACTCGAGGTCGTATCTCAGGATCTGTCATGAAAAGTGGTAATGTCTCTTTCTTCATGCATTCATCTAACATACTTTTACTATTAATCATTTATTATCCTTTTTAAAACTATTTCTGTAAGTGCACTTAATAGTTTAGTTACATTTCATGTTTCCTTTGAAATGTTTTTCATCATTATTGTGAAATTCTAGCCCAGCTGTAGTTAATGGCAAAATATTTCCTGCCTTCAGTAGGGCCAGGAAAATACTTTTCATGACTACAACGAAGCAGTAGCCAGCTAGGTTATTTAAAGAGTAATTATTTTTACAGAGACAAAAAATGCTTCCATGCATTAGAGTTTCTCTTGGTACTAAGTATTACTTTTGGTAGCTTTTAATAGCAAATGCTTTATCAAATAAAACTGGCAAAATTTTACTGTTCCACTCAAGTCCCAGCACCTCCAAAGTTCATGTCTCACCACTGAGAGAGAAGTCCACACTGGATGCTCCAAAAATGATGCTCTCTTTGGAATAAATTGCTACTTCTCTGTCTGCACGAAGGTCATATAAACGACACTAGGATTAAAACAAAACCAACACACATGCCTCAGTAAAGGCTGGAGGCACTGGCTAAAATATTTTGAAAAAACGAGAGTGGGAAGTACAGCCTAACAGGCAACACAGGAAGTGGCTGCTTGGCTTCTTTCCTTCTGCTATTTCTGCTGCTGTAACTGGGACTCCTCTAACAGGGATCTAAGCAACACAAGGCTGTTTTGTATCAATTGTGTGAAGAACTTGCTTTTTCAGACCACTTCTCTAAGCCTCCTGCCTGCCCTGCTATAAAGAGGAGTGGTGGGCTTTGGACCATGGCTACCTACTGGAATTCCCCCCACCCTCTTGCTTCCCCTCTGTGGTTTTGTACATATTAGGGCATCCAGCTGCTGGGAAGGTGCATGGGGAGACACTCTCTTGAACAACAGTATAGCCATAGCTGGAGTCTGAGAGACAGAGGACCAAATCTCTAGACATCATTGAGAACACAGACCATGTGGCACAGGGGAGCCTAGCTGGCAGTCCTTGCTCTGAGTAAGCCAGGACAGCAAACAGCCCTTGCCCTTCCGTGAGGCCTCTCTGTCTGAAAAAAGTACGTGAAAATAATTTAAGTGAAATAATACATTTTTATACAGATCTTTGGTTTTCATTTCTCATGGAAAATCCCAAATCACCTCTACAACCTGCACTTCCTGCTTTTATCATTTGCCAGCAAACTCTGGCTCGTTTAACATGGAAATAACGTACAGACAGATGAGACTTCACTGCCATGCAGAAAGGCAGTCTCTTACCCCAAAAAATGCACTTTTGAAAGTATTTGAACTGAAAACCCTCCTCAACAAGTTAAGCTTAACCAAACACTGGCCAGATGGGTTTGTTAATATTAAGACTTTACTAATGAAAAATGGCTAGTGTTCAAGCCTGCACATAAAGAGGCTGTTTGATTCACAGGGCAGTGGGGAGCTGCCAGATATGTGCAGTCCAGGTCTCCCAGTGCTCCATGTTGATGAATAATTTCATCAGACTGTCCTGACAGGGAGTTGGGGTCATTGCAGGTGACAGCACTGTCATGTGAGCATGCTTTTATGGTATACCTCCAGACAGTCAGGATTATCTGGTCCTCAAAATCCCTAAGTATATAAATCAGGTCAAGGATAGCAGTCTGTAGCACTGAAAACACCAATCTCTTCCTTAAAAGAATGAGGTAGATGGAAACTGCCAAAACCTCTGTCAAAAGTAGAGGTGGAATTTCCCATTCTCCTGCTTGAGTCAGGGGTGTCCAGAATAGTTAAGAAAGAAAAGCCCCATCAAATAATTTAAGAAGAGCCTGTGATACTAGGCATAAAAAGAGAGTGCTCTCATGGAATTTAACGATGGACAATTTCTCCCTATCACTCCCTCACAGTACCCCATCCAAGTGTGCAGAGAGCCACTGGGCTCACCACAGAGCTAGAGAGACTAATTTATAATGGTAGTTTTTAAGACCTAAAAGCAGAGTACACTCTCTCCAGAAGACCCTTGGAAGGTCTTCACATCCAATGAAGACAAAGGGAATGTTTCTATTGAGCAGACTCAAAACATGCTCTGAGGATAGGGTACTTTATCTAAAGTCTTCATGCAACTCAGTGTGATGCTTGAATAAACAGAACTAAGGTGCCAGGTGCCCCCAAACATCTGCTCTCAAGTCACACTTAATTGCTAGCTCAGTCCCTGCAGGGCTGTGGTACAGGCAGAGCTTGGTGCCCCATGGGGACCCACCAGCTGCAAGGAGAGCCACCAGCCCTGTGCATCACTTAGGGGCAGAGGGCACTAGGAGCTAAATAGCATTTTACATACAATGTGATGACCAAAACTACCTGTCAATACGTTCTGTGCCCCACCTAGCTCATAGATAACTAAGATCCAGGAAGAGCTATTGTGTGGTCTAGTATGACCTGGATGCAGTGACTCACTGCATTGAAGAGTGTTGACAGTAGTGAGTCAGAATGACAGGGAGGAGATGAGATGTATGTGGCCAAGGCCACCCTGGGGCTGCAGAGGCCAGCTGCCCACATTTGCCCTGCTCTGCACTGAGCCCACAGCCCTTCTGCTTCCTGGGACATGCACACTCATGTGCAGGCCCCACTCAGGCCCTTGTGATGCTGCTCCTCCTGACACAAGCTGCAGCATTTCAGCTGATTCCTCTCATACTGGGACCAACCACAAGAAGTCAAATATCTTCCAGGAAGGCAACTAATTTTGGTCATGAAACTTCAAACACAGAAAATCTGAAATGAGTATTTGAACAGTAACTCATGTAGACAAGTTTGCAGAAGTGACCCACAGCATTACTAAGTTTTCCTTATAACATGATACATAGTATTTAATATCTTACAGGAATATTATTTCTGCAACTTTGGTGTCACAGGCCCAGTTTAGTCACTAAAAGTCCTTTGTGGATGTGACCTAGTCATTTAGGAAAATGTGACTTGGGAAGCAACAGAATCTCCCTAAATTAGGTTGCTGAATTAACATACCGTGGCATCGTCTGAACCAGAGGCAAAAGCATCTCCACTTGGATAATATCTGTGCACAAGTGAAAGAAGACCAGAACACATTACATTACTTGGATGAGGTCAGACTTCAAAAATAGAACCAGCACATTGCTCAACATTGCAAATGTGTCCTCTCCCAGAAACATACTGACCTGACACTGTTGATATCTGAATCATGGGTTTCAAATGACTGGATGCACTGACCAGACCGCATATCCCAAACCATGGCTTTCTTGTCACAGCCCTAATAAGACAAAAATAAAATCACTACAGTTGTGCTAATGGAGACATTCACCCCTCATGTGCCTGATATTTGTCATCGAGTTCTGCTACATTCAAAGGCTCTGAACATCACAGCTCTGAGGGTATTTAACCAGCACAACAGCCCCAGAACTGGCTGCACTGGTTCCCCCGAGCTGGTGCAGTTGCAGGTAGGAGTAGAGTACATCATGAAGGCTGAACCTCAGTGCTGCTGTGCAGGACAGCACGGTGCAGACAGCCCCATCCTGACCAGCACTCACAGCCCTGCTCTGCTTGTGCTGCTGCCCTACCTGTGTCTGCAGTCCCATCATGCCACCCAGCTGCGTAACTGACTCATTCCCTTGCCACTTAATGTGTCCAATATAAAAAATTTATACCCAGCATTTTAAGTTTCTTAACTAATTATTTTCATACATTGAAATAGAAAATTAAATTAGTGCATCCAGAGGGTCTCTTGCCCATTCTCCTACCAGAGTTAACCCCTGTCAGGGCTCTGTACCCACATGCTCAGTGGTGTGGTTAGGATGAGAAATCCAGCAAAGCAGCACTCCATGTCATTGTCAAGCTCTAACCTGCCCTTTGAAAAGATCATTTAACACTAGGTGTTTGCTGTGAGGTGCTCAACACCCTGAATGCTTCAGGCAAGGGGCTTGCCCCATGTAGTCTGCAATGCCTTGGGGTAGGAACCATCTCATACCTGTAGGGCCACACTCTCACCTGAAGGGTCTCACTTCTGTCACAGTCACAGTGATAAGTAAAGGAATGCAGACTTCTCTTTTAAAAGTGATGGGAGGTTTTAATATATCTGCTCCTGCTGAGGGGCAGGCAGTAGGCGGGCTCAGCTCCAGGGAGCTCAGCCTCTCTGAGGCTGTGTGGGAAGCACAGGGCAGGCCAGGTGGCTGCTGCTTCTGCTGAGCTAGAGTGCCCTGTCCAGCAGACCGTGCCACACATGTTATTTATTTTAATCAAATATGATAGGTAATTAAACAGTCTCATCATGATTCATATATTTCTCTCTCTTTTTTTAATTCTGTTGTTAAAATGAAATTCCAGTGTTTTCAGTAATGATGTCATTATTTAAAAGAGGCAATGTTTCTTTGTACCAACTTGTGGTTTCTGCACAGGGGAAACCAAACAGGATGGAGAACATTTTGGACTCAGCATATTTCCCTCTCAAGCCCCACCACAGTCTAAGCCCAGCCCTTCATATTGCTTCCATGTGCACTGTTCTTACAGACCTCTCTGGGAGTTTGGGGCAAGACCAATCTGACAAACTGGTGCTTTGACCTAAGGTTTTGAGGAGAAACCAGTAACCACCTGTGGAGAGATGTGCCCCCTGGGTGCTATCCAACCCACCTCGAGGAGCAGGGCACTGAGCACGACAGGCTGGGACACAGCCCTGAGCTCACCTAGGAGGGCTAGAATTTTCACTGAAGTCATTAACTGCAACAGCACCCAGCCTGCACACTGATGTATTGACGTGGCTTATTCCAGCTCAAGGTTACTGTATTACAGAGGCACAGTATACAGGGAGTCTCTCTATGCTACCATACCTTCAGATTGCACTGTTCTGCCTACACCTGCATGACACGATGTAAGACAGATCTTTACTGAAGTTGTGTTTTGCATGTGATCAATTAAGCGAGTGCCTGTAAGCACAGACATGCCCAAGCTGCTGTATCAACACAAGTATGACATATTCTCTTAGCAGTACCATAGCTGCTTGCGATTCTTTGCCCTATAATAAGCTGAGCTGTTCCCAGGGAGAATTAATCTATCCTTTCTGGGAAGCGAGCTTGGTGACAGCAAAACCCGAGAGAAGTAATGCACTTGGATGGAATTAGCTTTCAGTCACGCTTCAGAGCAGCTGTGCTAGCAGCAGGCAAACTGGGCCAGTGTGCTGGACTCTGCTCCTGATGGGCCTGTCAAATTTGATAAAAGAGCCATAACAGAAGAGGTCCAGGTTTATTGTGTAGGGATGGGACCAAGACACTGAGCACCCCTAATCCATGGCTGGCACCCTCTGGCATAACAGCCACTTCCATCATCAAACACAGCATCAGCCCCAGGCCAGTGCTGGTGTGGCTCAGAAACCAGGTACCTTCAGCTAAGTTACTGGTAGCAACCTGCCTTCACCAAGAGAGGTCATCTCTCAGCTCCTGCCAGCTCTCACCTGTGCAGTCAGTTTCTAGTGTGGAAAATACCAGAACCACCTCAAAAAGAAGCTGAGCTCCATCCCAATCACCTTTATGCCTTGCCTGCCTCACTGCCAGGCTGTGTGCCAATGGCCCGGCCGCTTGGGAACAGCAATCGCTCAGCAGCAGGACAGGATTTGGAAGGAGCCCTGGGTACTTTCCCAGACCAGTCCAGTCTTGTAGCGCCAGTGAAACTTGTGTGTTCCTCTGGGCCAGGACAGGGAGCGGGCAGTGTTCAACTGATGAAGGGGCTTTAAATGCCTCTGGTACCACTGGAGACACAGAGGACTCAGCAACAGCTGAAGATGTGGCCACACCTCATCTCCCTGCTCCAACTTGCAGGAGTCTTTAGCCAGTGTCCAAGCTAGCCTTTGACTGCTGGGGAGTGGCTGAGGGACATGGTGGCACGCGCGTTATTTGCAGTCCCACTTCGACGCCCTGAGCCTGACACACCCATGGCTCCAGAGAGCTGGGCACAAGAAAGAAGCAAAATGTGGGAAGTCCTCTGCTGTGCCAGGCTCCTACCCACAGGGGCTCACACCTCCACTGTGGTAGGAGCCCACTGCTCTAATTCTGAGGCTTCTCCTTGTTTTGATCTTGAGTGTTGTTTTGATCTCGAGCTGGATTGCTTTGGTGTGGGGTGGAACTTGCTAAGTAAGCAGAACTGCAGTCAGACTGGCTGGGTGGGTTTGACCCCACAGTCAGGGGTTTAATTTCCTCCAGCTTGGAAAATGCGCTTGCAATGAGTGGATTGCACTCAGGCTTCCAACATACACTCCAGCACTCTCTTAGTAAGATCATGAGCCTACCGCTTTGCTGCTTTTCACTTCCATATTCCTTAATTTTATATTATGATATGAAGCTCCTGCTTACCCCAGAGACAAATGTATTTCCTGTTTCAGAAGGGGCCAGGTCCAGGCACAGGACATCAGCTCCATGACCATGGAAACTCTGTAGAAGCTGCCCACTCTCAACATCCCATAGAGCACAAGTTCCATCTCCACTCGCTGTCAGGATCTATAGGATATGGGAAGAGACACAATACAAAAATCAGCAGTTGACCTTCAAGTTACAAAGAAACAACTGACATCCTACACACACCCCAAAGGACAGCTTTAATTTAATGAAATATTATGCAATAAATCAAAGCCATAAACCTAATGTGACTCTAAATACAGTTTATGGGGTTTATTTTTAAGGAAAGAAGTTAGAGTGGAAAGGAGAGCTGTATTGAGGTTGCTGTACCTACACGATGTTTCACTAATGGTCCGTTTTGTGGGGTTTGCAGAACTGGTGGCAGTAAGGATCTGCTGGCATTTCCATATTCTCCAAAATGGAGGTAGAACCATACTGGTATTCCTGTCTGCCCCTGTGTCTAACCTTATCCATATTGAGGCTACTGGAATTCAACCCAGGTAAAGGGAAGAACTGTTATAATACCTGTTTAACTCTCTAATTTTTTTTCTGCTTGAAATAGTCAGGTTAAACCCAATTAATTTAGCTTAAGACATGCATTTTCTGAAAGGGAAGTAAGCCTGTCTAGACAGTTGTTTGATAAGTCCATCAGCTCTCACTTGTCCAAAACCATTTGTCTGTGAAAGGGCTTGAACATACACTGACCAAGCATAGCTCACAGCTTCCCATCTGCTACAGTGCTTGTAGAAAGAACATGTGATCAGAGCTTGTTATTGTGGCTAAATCCTGATGATGCTCAATTGTTCAAAATTTCCCCTTGGCACCCAAAGCTGTTATGCAATCACAAATTCTGTAGGTTGAAAGAGTCCCTGTGCACTGGTGTGGAAGGAGGCAAGACTGAACGTAGGAGGACTCTCAGCTTTGTACACAGGTTTTTATCACGATTGGTGAGGAAACTCAAGGGATCCCAGTGGGTAGTTAGAAGTTAAAAACAAAATACTCTTCAAGAAGAAAATGATCACACAATCACGAAACCATTCACAGAGTTGCATAAAGGTTAAACACTGAACATGTTTGACAGATGCTCCAAAAACTCTTCCCGTAAACAGAGGTCTGCAAAGCTGCAGAACAGACTGTTCCGAATCCTGCAGCAGAGAGACGCTAATGCTCTGAGATGATAATAGCAGAAGAAAGTCCTGACTTGTCTTTCTGGCCAGCTCTTGAGCCTGGATCAATGAACTTCTCTGTTCTGAGGAATATTTGTACTTGGCTGAGGAATGAAGACTTTCAGCTCTGAGGATTTGATCTTGTAATACTGTGTAAGAGAGATATTAGGGAAACAGGAGTAGCTACAGATGTAAGGGAAAGGTCTGCTGGCAACCCAGAGCTCCAGCTAATGCTTAAAGAGACATGTTACAGACTTATCTTCAGGGTATTGCTATTGAAAACCAAACCAATCCAGCCCAAAAAAACCTAAACCCAGGATGGGGATACTTGCCTGGTGCCTCGCAGCAAGAGGCACCACTTGCACAGGGTAGGAGACAGCAGGGACACAACATCTCCTCACTAGGACTGCATGCACCTGGGCTGGGTGCAGTGTCAAGGGCAGAGAGACCACCCTCACCTCTACTGCATCCACCACCACAGGCTTCATCCTGCTTCTCAGCCCCGCTGCACTGGGAGGGCTGAGAAGCATAGAGCATGGTTGTCTCCATGGCTGCCTGCCCTATGCAAAACACTTGAGATCCCAATTAACTGTTGCTATTAATACACATGGAGCATTGTCACATGGGGAGCATTATCACACAGCAGAGCTGCTGATACCTAATTTAGGAAGTGAGGATCCCTGGCTCACTGAGGCAGGGGAGGCTCTCTCCAGCAAGGGGTACGGAGAATAAGGTGTGTGGATCACCCAGCCCTGCAGCTCAGTGCTTGTCTTGGCATAGGTGGGAACATGATGAGAAGCGAGATTGGCACCTCCTCTTTCAGTCCCCACACAGCCTGAGAATGGCTTTAAGCAATGATGAATGACACCAAGATCTCCTCTCTTTCCTTTGCAGTTCCAGATGCCCATGGGCACACAAACCCCAAACTCCTACCCAGTCTTTTGTTCCTGAGGGAAAACTGAGCTGTAGTTTAAGAAAGCAGTCAAGGCAGAGCAGCAGCCCTGACAGCATTAGCAGTGGGAGCTGAATGGGGCACTGGGCTAGGGGACATCCCTACCTCATTCTAGAGCTGCTCCAGGATAGGTACCACATCCTTTAGTGATGCGAACTAGGAGAGTAGAGCCGCTCTGCACACAGCTGGGAAAGCTCCTGCACAAGTGCTAGTTGCACTCTGAACCCTCAGAGTTACGGAATAGTTTTAATTCCTAGACCTTTATGTAAATGGAAAAGATAAGAAATCTGGGATTCTCTAGGACCCCTATATAACAGTGTCCTCACAGAAGCCTGGCCAACCTGCTTGCTTGTATTTCTTTCAATAATAACATTCAATGCCATAAATTATCACTTATAAGCCTAGCAATCACAAGAAAATTTCTTTTTAAAGACTTCAGAAAAATCTCTGAATCACTGACTACAAAGCACCTTAATCCAGTGGATTACCTAACAATAGTAATACATTACCTTCAATATCAATGCAGTTTGCTGTATTTAATATGGAGGAAAAAAAAGGCCTGACTTTTCTTTCTTTATTTCTCATTATGAAAAGTAAATTGCTGTTTTTCCTGTCATAGGATTTAATCATGATGCATATAGGTATGGACAAGAAAAGAGAAAACCGGTTTTAAACCTCATCAAAAACATTCCACTTAATTTAGACTGCTCTAATTCTGCAGGGCTCCTGCATGGTAAGGTCAGGGCTAAGCAAGCCTGAGCACTGGGTACCTCCACCACTTGTTTCCATGGCAATGGACTTAAATTAGCACCTCAGAGTCATTACAGAAACCATAGAGCGACAAACAACAACATACTCTCAGGCTTCAGATGTCCTGAAATAGAAGCAATGAGAGCTGATATTTCCTTCCGAAGAGCTCCAAATATCTTGAAGAAGGGGACATGGTATTCCCTTTCCAGCAGCTCTGTTGACACCGACACCAATGAACACGCTCCATTCTGCCACTTATTTTGCTGCAGAGCTGCACTGAGCAGAGCTTTAATTAAATTCAGAAACCAGAGAGGACAAGGGGATTATCCTGGCTCCTTTCATCATCTTCTGTGCTCCCAGAGAAAGAGATCTTTGAGATATTCTCTACAGAGAAAGGCTGGCCTGGTCTCAGGAGAGCTGCATTTAGTTCCTGGCCTTGCCATCACCTCCCACTGTAGACCTCTGTGCTCCACCGCACCAGCTGTGAGATGGGGACAGCATCGCTCCTTTCCCTCAAGGGAACGCACCACTGCATGTATCACTTGGTACAAATAAAAAGTACTAAGAATGAAAGTAAAAGCAAAGTTGGCCGATGTCTGGGAGAAAGCAGGGAAACAAGAGAGTCTCCATCAGCTGGCACAGTACATAAGAATGAAAGTAAAAGCAAAGTTGGCTGATGTCTGGGAGAAAGCAGGGAAACAACAGAGTCTCCATCAGCTGGCACAGTACGTAACCCAACCTAGTCCTAGCTGAATCATGCTTTTAACTATTTGCAATAGTCTGAGCTCCTAAAAGCACAAGCTGGCACAGAGCTAGTGAGCAGAGAACACACAGGTACCAGCGAGCTCCCTCTGCAGAAGCAATAGGTCTTTGCAGGGTGCAGGCACGACAGCCTGGTCACTTCCTTTCAGCCAAGCATTTCCTTACAGCAGCTTTTGCAGCACCTTCGTTGCCCCCTGAAAGGGTTTTCCATCAGGGCAGGCCATGGCCCTGGGTGTCCCAGGAGCAAGGAAGGTTACGTGCACTGCGTCCGAGCGCAGCTCATGTTAGGTGATGGTGAGCAGCGGGTAGGGAATGCATTTACCTGCATGTCTGAGTTAGTGAAGCTGCAGGCAGACAAGTAGTTTGTGTGCATTGCAACCGATTTCTTCTTTGCAGCCATATTTTCATTTTTTTCAAATGTCAGAGGGTACACAGAACACTTGTTGTCCAGGCCACTGAAGAAAGTAATAATAGCAATAACAGAGAGAGCAGAACTGGTTAAAATTGCAACGACAAAAGGCGAGTGGTGATAAGAAGGAAACCACCTGTCAGTGTTGCGCTGCCAAACCCTTACAAGTACCGACTTCCCTGTATTGTGCTGTGTGGGATCTCCCTGTGCAGGGAAGCCCCAGCTGCCTCACCACGCTGGCTGCTTTACAGAACTCCAACAGCTGCGCCTTAGTATTTTTTACCCTTATCGAGTTTATAAATGGCACTGAATGAAACCTCACAAAAGTATAAACTGGGAGGTGACAGCAGTCACCTCAGGGCTAATGTTTCACATGCAGCCCAACTGCCATTTTTCTGCTGACATCTGCCATTGCACATATCAGTATTTAAAAGCATCATGATTCATCTACCTTAATAAATTTGACCTAACTCCTACAGAGAAGCCAGTATAGCAAGTAGTGGGTGTGAAGACAGGGCTTTTGGAAGAGTTTGGGAAAAAAAGCAACAGAAGCACCGATCTATGTAGCTGGTGTCCCTCTCCTGGACAGCTGTACCAGTTAAGCTGTGTCAGGCACAGGACTCATTTCTAAAGGGTCTGACATATCTGACCTTTTCCTAGAGCCATGGTAGATCAGTCCTGCCCTGGACCTTGGGATCCCAGCACACCACTAGTTGCTGGTTCTGTGCTTTACATTACGTGCACAGCACTTAACTGACAGCACAACAGAAATACAGAATTAGGTAGTGCAGTGCATATATGCACTCCCTGTCTCTCTTACAAGTGTGAAGACAAGAGCTTTCTTGCCATTCTTTGAGTTTTAGTGAAAAACAGAGTTTCTGGACTCTCTCTCCACACACAATTATGGAGTCTGCCTGTCTGTCTCAGCCTGCTGCTTTCTAGATTTGCAAGCTACACAGAGAAGTCTCCCTTTGTTCCTTTGTCTTGCCCCAAGCTTGCTTTGTCTGTCTGATCCACCCAGTCCCTTTTTAAAAGATGTTTTGCCAATATTTCATCTCTTTGTTTTCTCCCCTGCCTTAACTCAATTTTTTCAAATCCAGGCTCTCAGAAAACTTGGAGAAGCTTATCAAGGATGGGGTTACTCCTCCCCTATCTATTCACATATTGGTAATTATTAATGATTAACCTCTATGTCATGGAAGAAAGAGTGCAAAGTAAGAACAGGATTAAAACCTCTTTCCTTTAGAAGATATATCCAATGTAGACAACCAGACTGGAACAGGGAAGTTGCACGCATGCATGTAGAATTCCCAACCCATGATATAAATGCTGAAAGAGGCTTATTTTCCATGCTTACACAACAAATGTTATTGCACTGAAGTCAGTGGAGATAATGTGTACAAGTCATTATGGGAGTAGAGTCAGAGGCACTGAATGTAGTCTTTCCACCCACAGTCACAGCATGCAAACTTCTATCTGCCAGCATCTGAAGGCACCAGGACACTACTACAAATCAAAGTTCTCTGCATAAACAGCTGTGGAAACTGGGAACTTACCCACAAGCAATGGCACATCCAGACGGGGCATATGCACATGCCATCACCCAGGTACATGGCATCGTCACTGCGTGTTCCTGAAACATAGCAGCATCTCTTTAGACTGGGACATCACTGTTTCTCTAACTGGTGCAAGGAAAACAGTGTAGAGTAGTTAAGTTCAGTATTTCTATGGGACATTCTTAGGGTCAGTGAAAGGTACAGGTGTTTCCCTCAGCCATAACATGTAAGGCTGAGACAACCCTTACTGCAGAACTCAGCAGAGCAGCAGGAGAATAGCTAGTCCTTCTCTGACACTTTACACTTTATTCAGGAACCCCAAACTGACCACAGAACATGTCTTATTTGGGCTAGTCAGTGCTGTAAAAGGTCCCCACTGCTGCACATGCAAAAGTGAGTTTAAAACAAGCTGTTTTTTCTCATCTGTGTGGTGCAGGGTGCCATGAGGCAGCCCAGGCAGGGCTCAGAGGAGCAGTGGCACCACTGCACAGTGAACACCACAGCTGAAGGATCCAAGGTGATCACACACGACACCTGGTAGAGGGGTTACCCAGGAAGGGCCTTTGTTTTGCTAGCTGGGCTTTGCCCCTCGCCAGAAGCCCTCCTTTGTCAGCAAAGAGGCTGGATCGAAGTCTCCCAGTGGAGACCATGACAAACCCTAGTGCCCTGAGAACGACTTCACTCAGAGACAGGTCAAGGAAGCTGACTTGCCCTGGGCTACTTGTTTTGAGGTTCTGGTGATGCTCTGCATGTTATCCCAGCATCCTGCTGCCTCCTGTGACATCTGTGAGCCCTTCAGCCCTGCACCTCATCCCACTGTCATGTGCCCTGGACACGGAAATCTGACTTTTGCTTAATTTTCACTTACCTTGTTGGTAGTGAAGGAATCCCACACGATCACCTTCCCATCCTAAATGAAAGCACACAGAGAGAGAAATTGAGGCCTTCCAGAGACATGGCTATAAGACTGTTTCCCAGTTTGGGGAAAACTCTGCTGCACATTTCCATCCCCCAGCCTGTTATGTTCTAAATTTTTGTCTTCACCTTAACAACAGCACAACAGTCACAGCAAAGCACTGAGGAGACACTCCTCAGTAGTGTCAGTTGTATCTACCACAAGAAAAGCATATCTCCTCCTCCACCAAGATGACTCATGTTGGCTTAAAAGACCAATTTATTTAAAAAATTTTTTCCATTCTCTTTTAGTGGATTTATGAGAACTCCTTTCACTTGCAGCACATGCCATGGACAGGACCATCTCCTCAGGAGCCTGCCACTACTGAGACTCCATTTGCTTCCTTTAAGCCACAGTGTGCTTTTCTCAGCCTGTAATTACCACCTGCAAAGCTGGCCACCTCTCCCCAGCAATACCTGTCAGCAGCTCACTATGGGGCCTTACAAACACAGAGCTGACCTGTATCACAAGTCACTTAATAAGATGGCAGCACTCATGGGTACTATTTATGGACATTGCACTGTTTATTCATCTTCCCTTTCCTGCCTTTTCCTGGTTTTCCCTTTACTTCTCACTACACTTACTTAACCTTCAATTATCCATTGATATGATCTGCTAAATAGCCATCCTAAGAACACTCTACAGAGAGCAACACAACCACTTTGTGTATGCCAGTACACTTGTGCCAGCTACTTTGCCTTATGCACATAACATTGTTTGCCTCCCTGTCCTGTATCATGAAAGCAAAATGTTTATTACTGAGCAACAACTGCTGCTGTACCTGGACTCACAGTTCTTAAAATAAAGGAAAAAATGCATTACAACCTGCCTGTTCAGGTTTCTGATCTACACACCAACATTTGAGCCGCTTTTTTTTTTTAAAAAAAAGCAACATTAATTATTTAAAATTGTTCTCTGTTGAGATCACCATGAATGGTAAAAACTCACAGTAACTGAAGGTGGCCTGCAATGCAGATTGCCTATTTTTATCCCGCAAGTGAGACCCCTGACAGATTTCATGTAGGTCAGTGAACAGCTGTGAGATGCAACAAGCTCACTCATTGCCATACTGGGCTCAGGACGAACCAGGGGATCTAGAAAGTAATTATCTCATTACCTCCTCCAGCTTAGGAGACTGGTCTTGAGCAGGTGGTAGGACTGTTTCTCAAAATGCCCAACTAAATGGAGTAATTTTGGCAGGATGTTTGAGGCTTTCAAGGTCACACCAATCATACAGACTGCAAATGAAACTTCTGTGCACAGAAATCTCTAAAAGAATCAACATTTCTTCTCTTCCCTTTTCCTGATTATTTTCTCTGAACACATAATCTGAAAATTTTAGTAAATTTTTCATCTGTAAAGAACAAGGAAATAAAAATGGCCTCACACGAGTTCCGTTGTAGTAGGGAATATGGGGAAACTCTCTGTATGACTGGACAAGAACAATTTAGGGTATTAGCTACACCAGGTGTGGCAGTGATCAGAAGCTTAGATTTATGCTCTCTGAACAGATACATTGCTAACAAACTTATTTCAGGGCATCTTGAAAACATTTACACTATTCACAGGTATCATCTGCTAAGAGTAGCACATAGCACAGCCAGATTTGTACAGTACCCAACAGCACCTTTGAAAAACATCTGCCCAAAGGCATACCTGGGAAGAGCTCACAATTCTTCTTTTGTCTTTGCACCAATCCATACAGAGAACTTTATTTCCATGGCCCTTCAGAGTCCTCCTGGTCTTCATCACAAACTGGCCCAGCGCCTCCACACGCTCTGCCACCTGATGAACTGCAAACAGCTGATGGTTAGAGAGCCCTGCATCAAAGGCCTGCCCTGGCAAACCTCTATATTTATGAGTAATGCCTTTGGAGGAATTAATCCACGAAGTCTGGGCCCATGGTGCAAGCCAGTGAACTCTGCTTCAGAGCTGGCAGGTGGTAAACCCCAGGTGGGTGATAAATGAATATATTCACCAGATAAAGACAGATGAATTCACTCAGGGTTTGAATTTCAGGGACGTAACAGCTCAACCTCCTGTAGACCATCACACCCAAGCATAACTGGAAAACAGATTGCCCCCTTGCCCCTTCCTATTGGGAAATCCTCAATCTGACTGAGGCCTGGAAGTGGACAGAGAGCCTCCAACCTAACACATGATTCAAAGTGCACAGCAGAAGTGAAGACCACTACTGGTACTTGGAAGAAAAATCATACATAAGAAGCAGGTAGGCATCAAATCTCCGAAGTTTCACTGGTAAAACAGTTGCTCTTGGATGTGAGACTTCCAGCTGCAGTTGGCTTTCAGCACTGTGGTGGTGATGCAGTGATACAGGTGCCACTAGCACTGGAGACTTCTCTGCTGTGCCATCCCTCCTGGTGGCCAGGGGAGCACCAAGGGCCAAGACACAGCTCTGAGTGAGCAAGAAGCTTTGCCATTTGCTATAGGACTGTACTACCCAACTTTGAAACAGTATCTGCACATATAGAGCACTTTGAGGGAGGGTCAGCATTTTCTTCCATAAGAAAGAGAAACAGAAGGCAGACAAAAAACTTCCCTGAGCAGCATCCTCTAGTGAAGTCAGTTCTTTCATACCTCATTTAATAGCAGTGTTTTCAGCTGATATTCTTAAAAAAACCCAACAGATTTACATTTCCAATTGTGCAAACTGACTTTGATATAAAATGCATGCAGCTGACACAACTAAAAGTTGTCTCATGTAACCCTGATGCCTCATGCTGCACATCTGAGAAAAAGCTTCACCTGAAGAAACCTATTTGTTCTGCTCCAGTGTATTCATCCAGCATGGAGCTGAGTAGGGCCGTGATGTATCTTGGCACCCTGTGGCAGCTCTTCACTCAGAGCACCAGGGAGGGTTAGACTTACTTCAAGTACCACAGCAGAGCAGAGGTGCTGAGGCAGGAGACCCTGGCACCAGAATTAAAAATTAGTATCTAGAGAAGAGCTGATAGGATCCAGCACTTCCCTGTCTTGTGTGTTTGTCCACACTGAAACCTAAGTTGACCCAGCTGCTGTTTGCTATGGGGGCAATGCCTGACTCAAACCTTTTGAAATACATGCAGAAGCTCACATGCTTTAATGAGCTGGTGGAGGATAACTTAATCTGAAGCTTTGCACTGCCATGCTGGAGAGTAAGATCCACATCCCACATGGCAGGTGGTTCTCTGGAACTGTACTGCCCCTTCACCCTTCATCACTTTTCTAGGGCTGCAAGAAAGCTCATGGGCTAGGAAGGGCTGTGACAGCAAGAGAGCAGGCATCCTGAACTCTGAGATCATTCCCTGGCACACGGTCAGGGAAGCAATTTCTGCCTAAGGCAGAGACTGATTTCTAGCGGATTACCTTTTCAAGAGTTGTCTTTCAAAGCCACCAGCCCCACAGGCTGTGCCAGAATAATGTGCTCACCTGAAATCTCTGCTCAACCAGTCTTGCTGAGCCAGGGGACAAGCACTGTCCACTATTCCTGACAGTTTGTCCATGCTGTCTCTAACAGGAGGTCAGAAGCAAGTTTCTGAGAAAGTACTACATAAACCCACAGAGAAAAAGATACATTTACCCCTACTACTGCCCACAGAAACCTGCCAAATGATCCAATTGAAAGCCATGAAAACACAGGACAGGAGGTTATTACGGCAGCTGGAAAGATGCTTGTGTCCAGAACATATCTGAAAAAACAAATGTTTCACAGACAATGGACAAAGTGTTTCCATTATGTCAACGCAGCTGAGACTGTGAAATTGTCTGGTTTAGCCTCACTGATTCTCTGAGGATGCTTATCTCCAACCACAGCCATAATAATCCTGCACCCGCCTAGCACAGGTTTGAGAGTCAGATAAGTATTTTTAAGCATTCTCCAATATTGTTACAAGATAGTTGAAAATTATGCACTCAGGCTAAAGCCAGCTTGAATAGTTTTACAGAGGTCCAGATAAAACTGCCTATTTTTCTTAAAAACATTGTTTGGCCTGAACAGGAGGTGTGGACTTGATGCACATACTTTTGGGTCTTTGATCTTTCTGTGCAGGAAGCCAGTTGTGTCCAATGGTCTGTCAGGCCTTAAAAATTTATGGATCACACAAGCAGTAAAAACTTTTACCTACACCTAAAATTTTAAGCTATAGAACTGAATCCTTAAAACTGTAAGACTGCAAATCAAATGCATGTTTGGTATTTCCTTTTTCTAGCCACACTTTTGAGAGCTGCTGTTCAAAACCAGATGAACAAATAAGGGCAATCCTATTTCAGCCAGCTGTTTGTTTTGGGAACCACAGAGGGAAAGGCATGAGCAGAACAAAAAATATGTGAAAGATACAATTTTAGATTAGGAAGAAACCAAACAGCCAAACAAAAACCAGAAAAGATGCTTTGTGCTGAAACTTAAAAACTCTGCAGAAACAATACATGGGAATCATTTAAGTGTTAAAAAAGCCCTGATACAGAACCAATGATATAAAATATCACAAGAAAGTACTGTTCTACAGCAGCATAAGACTTTTGCCTTAGAAACCCTGTCCTGGCTGCACAAACACAGCCTTCCAACAAAAGTTTATGACATAGGCATGAATATCCTGTGGCTAACAATGATACACACAGTTTTGGGATCACTGCAATCACAGGTAAAACTCTTTGAGAGCAAAAATGGGTTTAAGAAGATGCTTAAGGGGTCTGTTAAACAGAGGCCCTGCTACTTCTCATACAGCAATTATACTGTAAAGATATGGTGATTTATGGTAATGTTTCTGTAATGAGGGCATCTCTGTTTAATAATTCTAATTAATGGAACATTCATATAGCATATGATTGCCTCATTTAGCCAAGAAAATGCTCTGTTTACGCCAGAAAATATATTTTAACCCTTCTCCACCTGAAACTTACAAACGTTTGTCAGTCCCTCAGTCTTAGAAAACATGAAGAACTAGATCACTCGATACAGGCTCAGGTTCCTTTGCAATGTTTAAGGCATCAAACAGATGAAAGCAAAGTTTTAATGACACACTAATATTTCTAATAGAGCGAGAGATGAGATTTCAAAGGGAAACAGTAATTGACATGTTTTTCTAAAAAAATATAAGGACCAAACCCCCTGCAATAGATTACATCATTGTAATAAAAATTAGATGATGAAAATAAAAGGATTTTCATATTTCAGGACAGGTGAATTAATACCTATTTGCAAAGATCCACAAAAGAAACGCTAGCTTATTTTTTTCTGGACGGGGAGGAGCATGGGGGGAGGGCAGAGTCGAGGTCTGTCCATGCCGCTTGTGTTAGGTCATCCGTGGACCTCGAAGCTGCAGCTGGTAAGGGTGAGTTACGCACTGACAGCTCGAGCACTGACTCACCCTGCACCTCTGAATCAGCACCGCATCCCTGCGAGTCGTTTCCCTGGGCGAATGGGGAGGCAAGAGGAGCTGGTTTTTTGGAAACGATGCTCCTTTTTCAGCCCTTCCACACCTCGGGTGATACCGCGGCATCATTAATGCAGCTGCCCACGCGGCTGGGGTTAATCCTCGCTCCTGACACATCGGAACGCCGGGACGAGACCGCACCGAGGG